GCAGAATGATCTCTGCTATATTATGTGATTTTATGCAAGAGTAAAGTTAAGTGGAGGCCAGAAGCAAAGCAAGGAAATCAGGACTGAGTGCTATTTCTGGAACACACTGTATTCCAAACATCTCCCTAGATCTGGCAGCTGTTCTTCATCATAGTATTCAACTTGTGCATTACAGGAACCAGATAAATGTATAACTGAACCACTAACAGATTTTTTTCATGTGCAGTTTAAAAGTTCATAAAGAGCATGACCAATCACTTTGTGGATCTCCAGAGATCAAAGTTAAATCTGTACAGATTTGCCTGTAACCCCCAGCCTGCACAAGCTTCACTGACTCAGCAGCACACAACAATGTGCATTCAAAAGCAGCAGAGGTGTCCTAACCAAATCAATCAGTAACCAAAAACCGAAGGCTGGAATGGGAAGGCTTTAACTAGAACATATTAAAAAGGTCAAGAGAACAAAATTGAAACAGAACGTAAGAATCAACATCACCCTGAGTTTGGAGTCCCATATAGGCCATCCAGGTAAGGATGGCAGGTCTACTTCCCTAGAGGGGAAGTTTTTAATGATAATCAGGGATAGTTCCATGGTCACCATTAGACTAGCCTTTAATGCCACAGCTTTAATGAATTTACAGCTTACCATCTGCTATGGTGGGATTTGAATCGATGGCTCCAGAAAATTAATCTGAGACTCTGGATTACTCAAGCAGTAACATGAACATAGGAACAGGAGTAGGTCATCCAGTCCTTCAAGCCTGTTCCCTCATTCAATGAAATCATGATCTGCAGTCTAACTCCATAAACTTGTCTTTGGACCATAGCCCTGAACACCTTTACTTTAAAAAAAATCTCAGATTTAAAATTAGCATGAGTTTTATTTTGTACGTAATAGGCAACCCTGCCAAAAGATAACATTCAACAATACTGCAAAGCAAACCTTTGTGCGAAAGTTGCAAAAACAAACATTTCATATCTGCACAATTAGGAAATGTGGCAATATTTACTAATAACTTTCCACAAATAATGTTTTGATCAAGGTGAACTACATGATTGCCTATTCAATGACAGTGAATCAGATTTTGAGATTTTGTTTGCAGATTTCCATGTAAAATGCATGCCTAGATAAGCAAAACGATTTTACTCCTCCAGAGACAGAATTGCTTAAAGAATCATGGAGTTGGGAACTTGAACAATAAACACCAAGACAAAGGAAAGTCTTTCACAGCCATTTCAAATGACATTGATGGAAAAGCTGATTGCATGGATTCTGCAAGCAATCATTTCTTGGCGTTCATGCAAACCTGTGCATAACAGAAGAGTTATGAACACTGGTGCTGATGAAAAGGCAACAGCAGCAAATGATCTCTGACAGCTTGGTGAGCACTCTGTGGAAATTAGATGGAGTGTGACAAAGAAGCTGGGAGTTGTGGCAAAATGAAAGCCAAATTGCTAAGCATCAATCTAAACAAATAACTTAGTGGATTTTTCATTACATTTTACGTCAAAAAGCTTTGATGAAAATTAATTGTGTTACAAATGTGTTTAAAAATTTATTCAAGATGCTTGCTGTTCTCAAGCATCAGATTAGTCAGCTGTTTGGATATCATACTTCTGTTTGATAGCTAATTCAGAGAACAATGTTGAAGTACTGGCAAAAGTGCATAATAAGACAACTGTCTGTGGCTCAGAAATGTAAAATGTTACTTTATGATAATCAATGGCTTGCAGACATCGCTATCAATGGGGTGCACCCGGTTTCACTCAATAGGAGGATAAAGCAACAACATTTAATTTTTAAAGCTGGCATGTCAAATTAGGAAGGAACAACTTAGCATATTTTCTACCTTGAAATCATGGAGAAGTGTAGGGAGAATGCGATCATAGAACAGCATACTGACTATCAAGTCTCCTTTAAAAAACAATTCACTTAGTTCTACTTCCTTGCTCTTGCTCCGTACCCTTGCAATTCTTGAACGTTTATCCAATTTCCTTTTTGAGGCAACTGTCAAATCACCAACTTAATTATGTTACAAATGGCAGGGTGTTGCAAATCCGTGTCATCTCTGGTTCTTTTCCCAATGTCAGAAGTCACACGACAACAGGTTATTGTCCAATAGCTTTATATGAAATCACAAGCTTTCAGAGCACAAACACAGGTTTGCCTGACGAAGGAGCAGTGCTTTGAAAGCTTGAGATTTCAAATAAAGCTATCGGACAATAACCTGGTATTGAGACTTCTGATTTTGTCCACCCCAGTCCAACACTGGCACCTCCACATCATTTCCCAATAATCTTAAGGCTGCAACCTCCTTGTATTCAGCCACTGCAAATAATTTCTCTTGATTTGCTCTATCCTAACCTTTCACGGATTTCAAAACCTCTTAATTCTCTATTTTAAGGAGGACAGCCAGCTTCTCCATAACTGTAATTCTTAATTATTCCATTACATTGTGACAGCAAGTTAAGGCAAAAACAATTGCATGCTTTTAAAGCAAAAAAAGCTAACTGATGTTTGAAGGTAAGATACAGGGCTACTGGCGGCATAAAACACAGGAGACACATGCCAAATAACTTATCGTGCTGCAAGCTTCTAAATTTTAATTAAAGTGCAGCTTAAAATCCTTACTATTCTCAAGACATTTCAGAGGACAAATCATCTCTCTGGATACTTTGTTTATATGCACCAAAAAAATCAGAGCATAAAGTGGACATGAAGCTGTACCATTTTTCAACAGTTCAATTCTGACATTGTACTTGCAGCTGCCATAATTCTATTGATTGACATCACTGGTCTCAAAATACACTAATATTGCGTTCAGTCAAAACTTCATCAGTTTTCCAACATAATTTGAATGGCTCAGAAGGACGCAACCAGAAGAATGCTCCTGGAAATAGCACTTTCAACTCTTTCAGATGAACAATTGTGGATAAATGTGAGATTATCCACTTGGTAGCAAAAATATGAAGGCAGATTACTATTTGAATGGCTGTAAATTGAGAGAGGTGAATGTTCAACAAGACCTTTGTGTTCTTGTGCACCAGTTGCTGAAAGTAAGCTCACAAATGCAGCAGGCAGTAAAGTCTACAAACTGTAAATGGGCCTTAATACCGAGACGGCTCGAGTACAGGAACAAGGATGTCTTGCTGCAAATGTAAGGTCTTTGGTGAGGCCACATCTGGAATACTCTGTGCCTCCTTACCCGAGGATGTTTTATGCTTGTGGTGGTGGGTCTCAGAGAAACCTATAAAATTCTAACAGGACTAGACAGGTTAGATGCAGGAAGGACGTTCCTGATGACGAGGGGAGTCCAAAACCAGAAGTCATATTTAAGAGGATAAAGGGTAAACCTTTCCGGACTGAGAGGAGAGTGGTGAACCTGTGGAATTCGTGACCACAAAAAGTGGTTGAGGCCAAAACAGTATGTATTTTCAAGGGAGGAGGGAGATAGTTTCTTGCGACACAAAGGATCAAGGGTGACAGCTGTGGACTTACTACAATTAAGGTGAAGTGTCAGAAGACTGCAGGTTGGCTAACGTGGTGCCATTATTTAAGAAAGGTGGTAAGGAAAAGCCAGGGATCTACAGACCAGTGAGCCTGATGTCAGTGGTGGGTAAGGGATTCTGATGGACAGGGTTTACATGTATTTGGAAGGGCAAGGACTGATTAGGGATAGTCAACAGGGCTTTGTGCATGAGAAATCATGTCTCACTAACTTAATTGAGCTTTTTTGAAGAAGTAATGAAAAGGACTGAAGAATGTAGAACGGTGGACGTTGTCTATATGGACTTCAATAAGGCGTTCAACAAGTTTCCGCACAGTAGACTAGTTAACAAGGATAGATCACACGGAATACAGGGAGAACAAGCCATTTGAATATATAATTGGTTCGAAGGTAGAAGACAGACAGAGGTTGGTGGCTTTTCAGACTAGAAGGCTGTGCCCAGCAGTGAGCTGCAGGGATCGGTGCTGGGTCCACTGCTTTTTGTAATTTATATAAATGATTTGGATGTGAAAAAGGAGGTATGGTTCGTAAGTTTGCACATGACAGCAAAATTGGAAGTGTAGTTGACAACAAAGGAGGTTACCTTGGAGAAGAACAGGACCTCGATCAGGTGGAGTCTAATCTAGATAAAATAGGATGTGCTACATTTTGGTAGAACAAATCAGGGCAGGACTTAAACACTTAACGGTAAGGTCCTGGGGAGTGTTGCCGAACAAAGAGACCTTGGAGTACAGGTTCATAGTTCCTTGAAAGTAGAGTCACAGGTAGACAGGATAGTGAAGGAGGCATTTGGTACGCTTGCCTTTACTAGTCAGTACACTCAGTATAGGAGTTAGGAGGTCATGTTGCGACTGTACAGGACATTGCTTAAGGGTGTTCAATTCTGGTCTCCCTGCTATAGCAAAGACATTGTGAAAACTGAAAGGGTTCAGAAACATTTACAAGAATGTTGCCATGGTTGGAGGGTTTGAGGTAAAGGGAGAGGCTGAATAGACTGGGGCTATTTTCTCTAGAGCGTCAGAGACTGAGGGGTGACCTTATAGACGTTTATAAAATAACAGGGGCATGCATAAGGTGAATAGTCAAAGTTTTTTCCCCAGGGTAGGGGAGTCCAAAACTAGAGGGTATAGGTTTAAGGTGAAGGGGAAAGATTTAAAAGGGACCTCAGTGACAATGTTTTCACGTAGAGGGTGATGCGTGTATGGAATGAACTGTCAGAGAAAGTGGAGAGGGCCAGTACAATTATAACATTTAAAAGGCAACTGTATGCGAATATGAATAGGAAGGGTTTAAGAGGGATCAGGGCCAAATGCTGGCAAATGGAAGTAGATTAATTTAGGCTATCTAGTTGGCATAGACAAGTTTGACTGAAGCGTACATTTCTATGACTCTAAGATTGAAATATTAGAATTTCTTTTAGGTCCACAAGGCAGATAGAAAGTATTTTACATTACCAACATAAGTAAAATAAACTATTTATGAGGCATAATACCCAGTGTGGGATGTCGCATCACTATCCAATCGATCATCCAGCACCTCTTTGCCTTTCTCCAACTCAACAATGAGTGTGTCAATTCGGCTGATCATTCGGTTTACTCTCTTCGTTAATAGTTTGCTAGCTTTGGACTCTTCTACAACTGTTTCCTTTCCAGTTTTAGAAAATTCCTTCTTAATCTCTTCTAAATCCTAGAATGGAATATAATAAAACACTTTTAACAGACACTTCGACATAATCTGTGACCCTGTGGCAAAACTGCTAAAGTTAAAGTCACACATTCATGTCATTCAAATGACATTTGGAAAACAATCGTGTCACAGCACACTGTGCAAAGACCGGGATACATTTACAATGAATTTAGCATTATAAACTTGAGACAAAAGTGCCTCAGCAGATCTCAGTAATTTAATGATTATTCCATTTCATTTTGTGAAGTGGCCAGTCTAGCCAGAAACTACTCTTTAATTTGTAAACTCATGTTCCTTTAAGTAAATCAAAACTCAACATAAATTCAGCAAATAGATATGAATATTTAATTTTGATGAAATCAAATATTTTCTTACCTCATTATACTCTTGTACATCTCCCTTCAATTCCTCTAGCTCTTCCTTCTCTTTGGTGAGTAGTTTCTTCTGTTCCTTCAACTTGGTACAAGCATCACTAATCATATCTATTTCCTCCTTTGTAATCTCTTCACCCTAAAAGTAAGGCAGTGAATCAGAATGAATTATAATTTATAGTTTTAGGACAGTTCTGTTTGAAATATTAATGGTTTTGTTGAACCAAAATGCCTCGAGGCCAGTTACAGACTTTTACGGAGTCCTTCAATTCAAAACTTAAAAGAAAAATAACTTGGAGTATGAACACAGTGAAACCAATCAGGCAACTGGGACTTGGGTAAAATGGGCCCAAGTAGCATACCACCTCAACTATTGAGGGGGACTGAAAATTAAACAAGACAGAAAGTGGAGTGAATTAAAATGGCTGGATTAGAAATAACTAAAGCACCAAAAGAGAATGAATAATGAACTGAGAGAAAAAAACGCTAATATAAAATCTCAACAAATTTATAACATGCAGGAATCAGACTGAACACTAAATTGCTCCTTTTTGGGGCCAGACTTCATTTGGCATAAGTATTAACAATTAATTTACTATAAAGGACAAGTATACTACAAGATTTAACATTTTTGTAGCAAGATCACTGGACAATTTATATACAAATGCATTCAGTTGTTAAAAAATTGAGCAGCTAAAGGCAATGTGTCATTGCGTGAGGCATATGTTGGGGCAAATTACGGAAACTGTAACTTGCACTGCACCTTAATCTCCATGTTACTGGCTGATTGTGGCATGTCAATAACAGTGCATATTGTTCACATGATATTATTTTCACAGCAAGACCTGGCCCATGAAGAATGGCTCAAATAAATTAAGGTATTTCCACTACAAAGACTACAGAGATGATGTGGAGAAAGTTTGCAAAGACGTATTAAAAGGAACTTGTGGGGGTGGGGTAGTTTATAAACATTGGTGAATACGCAACAAGAAAGCATAAAGGGAGATTACTAGAACAATTAGGAGAAGCAAGAAGTATTCCACAGTGTTCCTAAAGTGCAGTGCTCAAAACTGTATGCAGTATTTGACATGAGGCCTAACCTCAGCCATACATAACTGTAGCATAATTTGCATCTTTTTGTATTCCAATATTCTATCGCTTTTTAAATTATTGCCCATTATGTTATGCAGTACTCAAATCTCACACAGAATTCCTCATGTCAGCCATGTCATTGAAGAGGCAGAACAGATGAAGAACACAAATAAGCAAGATGGCTGTTTATCATCTCTAGACGTAGCACCAAAGAAGCTTTTAGTAGACAACTATAGTAAGGGTATCTACTCAGCAGTATCTACACAGTATTTTGGACTGGGAAAGACCAGTGCTAAGATCACGAAGAGCAGATTAGTTTTAGAAAACAGATAATTTAGGCATAAGGGGTTTACTTAAGCAAATTTGCACATATACATAATCCAAAATATCAAAAATACAGAGAGATTTACACCCAACCTTGATGCGCAGATATCTTTGCCATTTCTCAAACTGTGACAGCATGGAAAAACAAATGAGAAAAATGGCTGAAATGCTCAATGCCAATAAATTTTGCACATCTATTATTATAGTTTCTGGTGTTATTGTTGCACCTCAATGACAACTAAAATACATGGCCAAATAGGAATGCCATGCAACCGAAGCTTTTAGTTTGTGATGCTTTTTCTGCTAATTTAAATATTGCTTCAAAGCATGAAAGTATATTATTGATCGAAGGTATATCCTTGGAAACAAATCAGGTCAGAGTGTTTAATATTATAGTAAACTCATGTAACTTAAATGCATGGTAAAAATTTTTCAAATATTTAAGAACTTCTGAGCATTGTTCAAACTTTTCAGTCAAGTTTTGTATTTACTTATAACAATTCACTGTTAAAAGTTATGAATTTTTTAAATAAAACATTGCAGGAACTTTGGTTCCTCTTGTTCCGATCTGCAGTGCAATTTGAGTAAACGTCAGTGCCTTAAACGCAACCCTCTCAAAACAAAGCTTTCTACAGGCTCATTCATCACTTAGTGCTAGCAACTGAAAAACAGGATCTGTTGCTTTTATTCACCCCTACTGGTCACAGTCCAGGCATAGAATAATTGTGTTGACCTGTCCAGGCACTTCTCTTAATGACTTGCCTGGCGCATGCATGAAATAATTGAAAGTGAAGGAGAGCAACAGGCTGTGATACAGGAGTTGTCATCAACCAGAGCAATAATTATCTCTCTTCGACAAGCCTGTTCGACATCCTCTGAACATCCATGGGTTTACACATGTGGCATACAAATGAACTGGGCCAGACAGGTGCTTTGTATGCTTATGCGCACTATATGCCCCTGGACATCACAGATGATATGACCATAAGAAATAGGAACAGGAAGTAAACCCTTGAGCTTACTCCACCATTTAGAAGGATCATGGCTGTTTTGACATTCCTCACTTTCACTTTCCTGCCCTTTCCTCGTAACCCTTACTGATCAAGAATCTATCTCAGCCTTAAATATTACATAAGGACTCTATCCCCAGAGCTCTCAAACCAATGAGTTCCAAAGACTAACAACCCCCAAAGAAGAAATCCCTCATCTCAAAATTGGTCTAAAATTGGTGCTTCTTTATTCTGAGACTATGCTCTCTGATGCTAAACTCTCCCATTAAGAGAGACATCCTCTCAGCATTTGCCCCGTCAAGCCCCTTATGTTTCAATGAGATCACCGCTCATTTTTCTAAACTTCAGTAAGGAGAGTCCCAAACTGTTCAGCCTTTGCTCATAAGGCAATCCGTCAAATTGAGGATCATCCTCGCAAAACTTCTATGAACTGCCCCCAATAAAATGATATGTTTTGTTAAATACGGGGATTAAGACTGTTCACAGTACATGGGAGCAGTAAATTGAACCTCTCGTTGTGATACATACTTATTAAAAAAAAAATTGCCAGGACGTGAGCATCCGTGGCCAGGTCAGCATTCACTACCCATCTCGAATTGCCTCAAGAAAGTGGTGGTGAGATGCCTTGAATGCCTGCTGCTGTTTATGTGGTGTAAACACACTCAATGCTCGTCAAATATAACAAGGTGTAGAGCTGGATGAACACAGCAGGCCAAGCAGCATCAGAGGAGCAGGAAAGCTGACGTTTCGGGTCTAGACCCTTCTTCAGAAAAAAAGTGCTGGTCAAGGTAGGCTCTCAGATTTTCACCCCCTGATAGAAGAATAGCAATATGGTTCCAAGTCAGGATGGTGTGGGCCTTAGAGAGGAACTTGTATGTGGTAGGGTTCCCCTCTGCAGCTCTTGAATTTCTAGCTGGTACAGATAGTTGGTTTGGAAGATGCTGCCTAAGAAGCATGAGTTGTTCCTGTGTATCTTGTGGATGGCACATTTTGCAACCACTGCGCATTGGAAGACAGTGAATGTCAAAGGTGGATGCCAATGAAGCAGGCTGCTTTGTCCCAGCTGGCATCAAGTTTCAAGAATGCTGTTGGAGCTGTACTCATCCAAGCAATTAGACAATACTCCATCAAAACTCCTGAATTGTACCTAGTAAATTGGTGGACAGGCTTTGAGTACTTGAGAGAATTAATTGCTGCAGAATTCAGGGTCTCTGATCTACTTTTGTAGCCACAACATCTATGTAACAAACCCTGAGAACTGAGGGTCTAAGGAAGGGTCACTCAACTCAAAACATGAACTCTGATTTCTCTCCACGGATTCTGCCAGTCCTGCTGAGCTTTTCCAACAATTTGTGTTTTCATTTCTGATTTATAGCATCGCAGTTCTTTCGGTTTTTATACATCTATGCAGTTGGCCTAGTTCAACTTCTGGTCAATGGTAACCGTCAGAATGTTGATAGTGGAAGATTCAGCCATGTTAATGTCTTTAACGTCAAGGCATGATGGTTGGGTTCGCTCTTGTTCAAAACGGTCATTACCTGGCACTTCTATGGCATGACGTTACTTGCCCCGTATCACCCCAAGCCTGATATTATCCAGGTTTTTCTGCATTTGGACAGAAACTGTTTCAATCTCTGAAGACTTACAAATAGTATCGAATATCGTGCAATCAGCAAACATCCTAACTTCTGATCTTATGTTGGAGGCAAAGTTCATGAATGGTTGGGCATAGGACAGTACACTGGAGGAACTCTCACAGTGATGCCTGATGACAGATGGTTGGTACCAATTTTTGGAGCCATCTGCCTTTGTGCTACATATTACTCAAACCAATAGTGTGTTTTCCCCTCAATTCACAATGACTCCAATTTTGCTAGGGTTTCTTGACACTACGTAGTCAAAAACTGCCTTGACATTAAGTGTAGTCACTCTCACTTCCAGTTGGGAATTCAGGTTTTGTCCATGTTTGAACCAAGGTCTTAATAAGATCAGTAACTGAGTGGTCACAGCTACACCCAAACTGGGTATCAGCAGGCAGGTTATTATTAAGTGCCATTTGACGGCACTGTCAACAACAGCTTCTAACACTGCGTTGATAATTGAGAGTAGGCTGATCAAACAATAATTTGATAAGTTGGTTTTATTGTGTTTTGTGCATGGGATATGATGCAGGGATCCAGAACTGATCTTTTCAAATTCAGCACGTGTTTTCAGGCAATGGTCATTACTGCATCACCAACAAAAGCTGTCACTAATATCCCATCGTATTGTAAAACATAAAAGCGGTGAGAAAAAAAGACTTGCTTTTAAACATTATCTTCCACGACCACTGGAAGTCCCAAATCACTTCACAGTCAACTAAGTATGTCTGAAGTGCAGTCATTGTCATGATTTAGGAAATGCAACATAGGAAGATCCCACAAACAGCAATGTGATAATGGTCAGATGGTCCCTGCCACCTTTGACAAGCATTATTCTGGAGTCACCTTCAATTAGTTGCTTACTTGCACGTAAGCATTTACAAATACTGGAAGCAGCAGGGCTTTGATCCGATCTGAACTTCGTGAGATCTCTTAGATCAGGTTTTGTTGTAAAATTTTCATCAAGGAGGAATCTTGGTTAATAAGCTGGGAGAGGTCAAGTAAATGACAATCAGTAAAAAGTTACATGCTGATGTTTGACTGGATGCCATGAGACTTCAAAGGCTAGTCTCCAAGGTCAACATTGAGGACTTGCAGGCCATTCGCTCTGACTGACAGAGGTGTTTATGGCATCAGATGAGAAACAATTTATGTAGTATTACTGTGGAATGTGTTTCCACCATCATGGAAAACCTGTCTATTGTGGCAAAAAAATGGAAGATGAACCTAAGATCAAGTCCCAACTCTTTATCTGGAATTTCCTCATTTTCAAGCGATCTGGACGCATTTCATGCCTGTACGGATGTTAAAAGCACTTGACCATTCACATCATCGGCAGCCTCTACTGAAGCTGGATTTCAGCACCCTCGGAATGTGAAACCTGAAGTCTGCAGTGTCAATCTAGTAAGAGCAGGTCTGAATCTTGTGCATTTTTTTGGGTAGAATACATGGAGAGGGAAGGTGCCTCTTTGATTACAGTCACAGCTCACCTTTGGAAAAGGCAAACCAATGCCTTTTGGAATTGTTATAAGTATGCATGAATGTGCATTAAAAATTGCACAAAGTTATGAATTGTCAAGCTCATTGGAATGCTCAACTGTCCAAACTGCTCAAAAGTAACTGTTAAAACAACAAAGTAGCGAAGAGGACCTGTCAAGAGACTTAAAAATTCTACCTTTTAAATCTTTGAAACAAACTCATGGCTTGTAATTTCATTCAGCTTAGACATAAGCCAGAGGTTTACCACTTTTGGATTATTGAGTGACTGATTTTGTAACTATTTATTATCAAAATGAGGTGTTGGTCATTTCAGCTTGACAGCTCCAAGTGGTTATAGACTTTGAAGGGGGTGATGACTCCAGTGTCTGCTGTTGAAAAGGATTGCACACAAATGAAAATGTTTTTGGTTATAAAGGTATTACGTAATTGAAGGAATACAAATACATTAAGTGGGGTTTTATTTGTGAGTGCAACTCTTTTTTTTAACAATATGCCCTGCAATAGATTCTTCTTTAAAATTAAGTTTAATGTTATTCCAGCTCACCTCTGCATTGTGTTATGGACCAGATCATGCCCCCTCAAAATGTTTTAAAATGGTAGCCGAGACCCTAACTTTTCCTTATTTTAAATGCAGATGTAATATGCTGTGTTCCAGATGCAATTTGATTGGTCAAGCTACTTGACATTAAGCAAAACACAATTTATTTAAACACTGTGGTTAAAATATAACCAAAGAAAGAGGAATTTAGAATAATTCTACAGGAAAACTTAAGAGTAATAGATACAGTAACTATCATTAATCAACTGTTCCGATATAGTAACATCCGATACACACACCCTTTGGCAAAAAGGCAAATTCAGAAAAATAAATTCTTCTCGCAGGTAAACCACCAGAGAGAAATCCCAGCTTCAAACTGGAGCTGAGAGAGGGCAAAGATAGCTTCTACCTTTTCAAGCCCACAACGACTGCTTAAAGCTAAACCTACAAACTAAAAAAAACCTAGAAAACCTGGTCTGAGAGAGCTGGGCACACTCAGCCTGGCTGCCTCCATTGTTACAACTTAAAAAAAAAGGTCTCACAAGCTGTTTAGTCATTTTGGTAGACTGCTCTGTACCTCTACCCTACAACCTCTCTTCAAAAAAAAACAGAACAAAAATAAACTTCTCAAAGCCATAACATCACCACAATGATTCTAAACGTCAGTCCATGGTCGATTTTGGCTAAGTTAGCATGGTAATTTTAAGCAGAATTGTAGTGAGGATACATGAAATGAACTGATTGCCAAGACAATGCCAATTGATCTGCCCATTTTTATTTTTATTTGAGTTTTCTGTAGCAGTGGGATACAATCAAGCAATTTTTCAGGCTAGTTCACAAGTCACTTAAGCAGATAGCTATATAAAGAAAAAAATGCAGATGCAGGAATCCAAAGTAGACAAACTGGAGGCTGGAAAAGACAGCAGGCCAGGCAGCTTCTGGAGGAAAGGAACAGTCCTGAAGAAGGGTAATACCCAAAATGTTGACTGCTTCTTTAATCCAGATGCCGCCTGGCCTGCTGCATTCTTCCAGCCTCCAGTTGGTCTACCTTGGATTCCAGCATTTGTAGTTTTTTTTTGTCTCTAACCAAATTTTACCACTGCAAAGTCTCATCAAAGGATGCCCACTTTGAAGAAGTTCTCGGATTCCCTCAAACCTGAACTCAGTGAGTCTTTCTCACTGCCAGAGTCCTGAAGAAGGGTAATACCAGAAATATTGACTGCTCCTTTCCTTCAGATGCTGCCTGGCCTGCTGTGTTCTTCCAGGCTCCTGTTTGTCTACCAAGCAGATAGCCAAGATTGTGGAATCACATGTAGTCTAGATCATGTAATATTGGCAAGTTTCCATTCCTCAAAGACATTAGTAGGCCCGACTGGTTTTGAAAGTAATGATAGATTTTCATCATCACTAGTACAAAATTAGCACTCATTCTAAATTTATTAATTACATTTCAATTCCAGCAGCAGCTACACTAGAGTTTGAACCCTTACCACCAGGCATTAGCCCTGGCTGCTGCATTACTAGGCAGTAACATTTCTTCTCTAATACCAAACGCCTCTTAATTCCAAAACTCAGACCAAGTGGTTTAAAAAAAAAAAAAAAAACTTAGGTTGCCTTGTAAGGTTTTGTTTTCAGAAAAAATAAACAGCATTTACTTTGTATTTTACATACTTAAATTATAATTAAAACACTATAGTTAACTGATTTGGCTGGGTAACAATCTAGCTTGGATAAAGAGAAGAATGACTAAGAAAAATGTTTGTTAAACTCATACCACTCTCACAAGGAATTAAGGTCCTTTCAAAGTCACGTAAATAGCAACAGTACAAGCCTAAAGCAGTTTCTAATCTCAGTATACCTTGCACTAAAAAAATGAACAGTGAAAACCTTAAGCTCAATAAAAAGTAGTATCAGTTATTATGCATCTAAGCCCAGAGACGTTCATGACACGGTTGCTGGTTGTGGTTGGCATATTTTTGTTTCGAAATATTATGTGAAATGAAGGAATTGCATGTTAAACTTGCTTCATGGGCTCATGCCAACAAAACCTTGAGATTTCAGATTGGAAAACACAAACCAAATTGTTACTAGGACACTATGTTAACCCACCCATTAACAGCAGTAAAGCAAACGTAAATGAAGATCAATGACCTGGACATTCAAACATACCTTAATTCCTTCTAATACTGGGGCTGTATCTTTCAAGGTTTCCGAATGCATCGTCAAGTCTACATTAGCCAATTCCTGTTCTGCATCAAGAGCAATTTGGCTTTGCTTTACATTGACAGCTGCTGCTTCCAGTTCCACTGCTGATTCAATTTCCTTCTAGGACAGAGAATTAAGAGAAAGAACACTCGTATTTATATGTTCATGGCAACCTAAACATTTGTAATTACGTACTTCAGTCATTATTGTCAGTCAGTTCTAGATCTCAGCATAGTCTTGGTTCAAGCAAAGACAAGAAGAGTGGGATTCTAGAGTTGAAGTATCATTGACTGCCTCAGCATTTACGAAGTGTGATAGGAAGGAGCCTATTAAAGCTGAAGTCAATAGAAATTAAGGGAAAGTTTTCCACTGGTTGGAGCCATACCTAGCACAAAGAAACATGGTTGTACTTATTAGAGGCCAATCACCACATCTGAAGTGTGTCACTACAGGAGTTTTTCCAGGTAGTGTCCAAGGCCAAACCATCTCCAGCTGCTTCAAAGTTCTTCTCCACATCAAGGTCAGATGTGGGGATGGTTGTTGACATTTACACTCTGTTCAGTATCATTTGCTACTCCTCAGATACTGAAGTAATTTGCACACGAAGACCGAGATAACATTTAAGCTTGTAGCTAATAGTAGCAAATAGCATTCAGTCAATACAAGTGCCAGGGAAGCATCATCTCCAAAATCAGGCAATGTTGACAGTGAATAGCATTATAGTTGCCGAATCCCCCACCATTAACATCCTTGGCCAAGAACTGCATTTAACCAGACTTATAAATAGGTAAAGACAAAATCTAAAGGGCGAGTAGCTATGTCAAAAGAGATGACAGGTGGTTGTTTAACGCGAGGGTCACCAAGCCTCAGGCAGGAGAGACATTGAGAAGGTGAGTCCTTCATGATAACCACAGCTGATGTGGAAAGTGAGCACATGCTGTTGGCATCACTCTGCATTGCAAACCAGCTGTGCAGCCAACTAAGCTAACTTACTCTCAGCCTTATAAATATTCCAGCGACAATGGCAGATACAGGCTATGAATTCTGCCACAAGAAGCTATCTAGCCAACAACTACAAGGTGCAAGGCATAAGTTTCATAAGTTTGTTGGAATACTTGCCAAATGTCTGGATGGGGCCAGCAAAACACAAGAAGGTAGACACCCTCCAGGACAAAGCAACCAATTTGACTAACATCACATCTATCTCCTTCAACTCAAAATGTATTAATTTATTAGTATTATCTAAAGTTCGTCACTCTCATTAGACTCTCCACTATTTCTGCTATGTTTTTCTATCTTGTACTGTGAAGGCAGAAACAATACTTGTTTTAACATCCCTGCCACTCATTTACTTCCAATTGTAATCACTTGTGTTTCAGCCTCTGAGATACGCAAGTCCATTTATGAAATTTATCTTTTTGCATTGTTGTAGAAGTTTTTACCATCCGATTTTATATTTATTGTTAATTTATACATTTTCTATTTTCTCACTATTTGTAGAACTTGGGCCACCGACAGGAGGCGATAGCAAGTTTGAATTGATGAGAACTCGGGAAGTCCTCATTCACAACATTAAGCTAAATCTAAAGCATGTTAAGATTATAAATTTAACACTTACCCTGGCTTCAACCTGTAAGCTTTCTTTAGCTTTTTCTGCAGCTTCTGCCATACGTTCCATCTCTCGCTCCTGGTTCTCCTTCTTGATGGCTGCCTCTTCTTGCAAGGTTGCTTCCAATTTAGTTTTATTATCCACTTTGACACATTCAACTTCCGCTACTTTGACTTGTGCTTCCTTTGCCTGGAATAAAATATCAAATGAAAGGAGTCGAGTGGTAGCCCCTCTTGCAATTCTTAAATGCTTCAGATTGTGCTTGGACTCGGAACAGAAATGGCGAGTTGACAAAAATGCCTGAAAAAGGGTAGCACATTCTTGTACAGCACGTTCATCTCTTACGTGAGAAATAAAACATTACCTACTGATTCATGTTTCATTTCATCCAGAGTTCATTTTGATCTCACCAAGCAGCTTTGTGTGCCAAATGAGCACCTTCAGCCTCACAAAGCTTCTATTATGAACAAGGTTTATCATTTACTCAAATCAGCTCCAGCAAATTGGACAGAAGATGTTGCTCCCATAAATCAAAGCCAACTAACTCACTTCCTTCCTAACAGTACCTATTGAGTTGATTATATAAAATGACAAAATACTTCAACTGCCATATCAACGTGATCTTAATACTGTTAAGTGTTTGAACACGTTCTATATTTGATTGTATATGAATGACAGGATTCCATCTCAGTCTTCTCCACAAGGTAAGAACTAGACCATTCCTTAAAGTGGAAAAGTAATACCTAAATTCATTCAAGGTGGGAATGGCCAAACAAAGTTTGAAAATTTCCCTTGACAAGGAATTGTTTCTGATGTCATGAAATACAACTAAATGCTTTGTGTCACTTCAAATGGGTGAAATTATTAGAATTATTAAACTTCCAACAGATAGAAATTTTATTTCTACCTTTTCTCAACTTTTATTTTCATCAAGTCTGTGCACCAATGCATTTGTATTAAATCATGAATGTGACTTCTGCATTCAATACAGTCACAGCAGGTAATTCAGAATAAAATCCATACGCACAACTTTGTTGGATTACGTACATGTGAAGCAAAGGACTATGGCAGTGTTTCACAAAGTATTTTTCAAAGTAACCCAATGCACCATCCTTCTCAAAGGCAATCTGGAATCAGTGACAAACCCTGTACTTGGCTGATGGCCACATCTTAAAAACAAATCAAACTCTTGAAAATTTCTGTGACTCTAGTAGTCAGCAAAAACACCACTAATAAGGGGGTATCCCACTTAGAAGTGGAAATTAGCAATTTTCCCTTGCAGCATCATTCATCTGTGAAATTTTTTCCCAAGACAGCAATGGAAACAGGGCAGCAAATATTTTTAAGGATGAAATTGGACTGAATGCCTTGACAGCTCTCACAAGCTATGAATACTGGGAAGTAGACTGGAAAAGCACTGAATCAAAAGAGCAGAAGAGGCCCTGCGGACACAATCAAATCAGCCACAATCTTATCAAATGGTGAAGCAAGCTCAAAATGTCTGAGAGCTGCACCAAATTTGTATTTATGTTCATAAAGTAACATACTGCATTTAATTTAACTGAAGCTCGCAAATTGAAGATCCACACATAATAATACAACGCTCAAACACAATAACTGAAATCTGTTTATAAAATACTGAAAGACTATTTTACAAACATTTTGGATATCAGTCAAGCTTTGCACATTCACTGGTGACAGAAGACTCAATAGCCCCTCTCCCTCCATCCTCAGACACTGTGGCAGCTCACCTTCCCTTGACACCACCTTCCCAATTGGACTCCCTCCCTCTGGAGACTCCGCAACCTCCAGGCAGGCCACCACATGCCCTCCCAACAGAACATCCTTACCACCAGCCATTCACTCAACCTTTCTTTCCTTTCAAACATATCATACAATTCAGCTCTTCCTTCTGCCCTTCCCCCACTGCATCCAACTTGTATCCTCACTCCTATCTGACCTAACTGCTCAGCTTTGCATCTGGATCTGAACAGTGAGCGAAAACCTTTGGTCAAAAATTTATTCTGCTTCTTTAAACTCGTTACGACAGAGACATACAGCTGAACCAAATCATCCTTTCTATCTGTATTCACAACACAGTAAAATTAAAACCTTCAAAGATTCTCATTTGTTACTCCAATGGCTCCTAAACAGTTTTTTGAATAAAGTATCTCAGACTTTGAGAATAATTCAGTTCAGGCACTGGTTTTGTAAATTAAGGCTTTATTTATTAAATGTACAATAACTTTAGCCTATTTTTCTAATCAATCTGTTATTACATCCTCAGAACAGGTGAGACTTGAACCTGGGCCTCCCAGTCTAGGGTAGAGTCACTACCACTGCACCACAAGAGAACAATTTTAGCAGAGAGAAAATAAAATCAAACAATGTAATCTAATTCATAGCTATGCCTTAAACCCAAAACATCTGTTGCTTGGTTGCTTTTTTTGGAAACATCAGGTCACCTTTTCAGTTCAATCAGCTAAAGGCACAATACATCTAGCCCAGCTTTTGGCTTCTGAAAGCTGGTAAGGGAGATTAAGCAGAGAGCTTTCAACTCTTCATGCTGTGTCAGCAGCAGCCAAAATCTTCTCCCAGAAAAAAAAAGTTTATTAAAAAAACAACCGCAACTCTGGTTCCACTCTGAGCCTGACTGTCTTTTCCCAAGGCCTCAATTGTCATTCAACATTTGCCATTTGCTTGATTACAGGGTCTTTTTCAGATCTGCTGGAACCAATTCCTAGGTACGGACTTTGTAAATAACCAACTTCTGCTACTTTAAATACAATACTTCTCCTGGGGCCACCATTAATCAAGAATCAGCTTGCATTTAACCCTTAGGCCTGGCCTCACAAACAAACAAAAGCTCACGTGATCTGTTCCTTTCCTTTTACCACAAGCTGTTTCACAAGTCCACAAATCACCTTCAGCTCACAATTCCTGTTCCCGGTTCCAAACCGAAATTGATGAAAGAGTAAAAATAAAATCAAAATCAGCACAATATCTACACACAAAATATTGCAGAAGTGGGAACTCAAACATTTTAAATCCAATCATGGAAACTAACTTTGAGGGTAGTAACAGATAAATAGCTCAATACTCAGGAGCATGGAAGTTACTCAGTTTCATTTGCGGATTGGAATGAACAATTCTTCCACTGCAATGACTAAAACACAACTATAATAAGGCTTAAATACAAAATTCAGATACATTTTGACAAAAAAAGTTGGACCAATCAGCAAGATATGTTTCATATGCTACAATAACACTTAGTACAATGCATGGATTTTGAAACAACATTCAAATAATCCAATAGGACTAAAGCAGCATCAGCTGCATGGGTGAAAATTCACTAACGGACAGAAAGCAGAGTGATGAACAATTGTTTTGCAGACTCAGTGCAAGCACATAGTAATGCCTCTAAGGGTCAGGAATCAGGGTAGTGCTCTTAATGATATATAGAGACAGAACATAGAACATACAACATAGAACAGTACAGCACAGTACAGGCCCTTCGGCCCACGATGTTGTGCCAAACTTTTACCCGAAACCTAAGGTCTATCTAACCTCCACCGCTATCTTATACTATCATCCATATGTCTATCTAATAGCCGCTTAAAGGCCCCTAATGAGGCCAACTCCACTACCCTCTCCGGCAATGCATTCCACGCTCCTACCGCTCTCTGAGTAAAGAACCTACCTCTGACTGAGATGGAGATAATATACATAATATATACATACACACACACATATTTTTAAAATGTGTGTGTATATATCTCTCACACACTTAGTGCAGAATCCTGGTGACATTTCAAAATGACAAACAGCTGGCTCACTGTTGTACTCAATAGTTCTCTAGGCCAGGAGGCCCGAGTTCAGGCCCCACCTCCTCCAAAGGTATGTCGTACCATGACTGAACAGGTTGATTAAAAATATCTAAAATTAAGAATTAGGACTCTGGAGTTACAGTGGTAATGTCCCTATCTCTGGGCCAGAAGATCCAGTTCGAGTCTTATTTATCCCACAGACTGAACAAGTAATTTATAACAACAATAGGAGTCGCTGGAAAAGCTCAGCAGGTATGGCAGCATCAGCGAAGAAAAGTCCGAGTTAACATTTCAGATCCGGCGACCCTTCCTCAGTTCTGATCCAAAATCTTAACTCTGATTTTTTTTTCTTCACTGATGCTGCCAAACCTGCTGAGCTTCTCCAGCAACTCCTGTTTTTGTTCCTGATTTACAGCATCTGCAGTTCTTTCGGTTTTTATTTTACAAGTAATTTCTAGATCAACCACCAGTTCTGGAGCAATTTGCAAAGCTTCAAAAGATCTGCGTTTAATTTTTCCTTACTTGTCTGCAGACACTGGCACCACTGACTGAGCCAGTGTTCACTGCCATTCCCTAACTGCCCGAGAAGTCAGGTGAGCTGCCTTCTTGAACTGCTGGAATCCATTGGGGGTGGGGGTAGGGAAAAGGTGGTCAGGCAAGATGCTGTTCAAGATGGAGCTCCAGGAAATTTTACCCAGCTATGAACGAATGGTGGTACAGTTCAAATTCATGACAGCGTGGGGCTGGGAAGGGGAACTTGCTGGTGGTGGTGTTCCCTTTTGTTTATAGTCCTTTTCTGTCTTCTAGCCAATTGGGGGCTGCAGGTTTGTAATTTGAAATTATATACAAACATCTACAGTATTAAATGACTTGGACTTGACGAAGAAGGAACAATGTACAAGTATGGTAATGACAAAAGCTCAGGTCTAAACAAACAAACAAACAAACAAACAAACAAACAAGTCAGGAGGGCAGCAACTAACTTCAGGACTACATTGACAGACCAATGAAATTGGCAGTCATTACAGGGAAAAAAAATGGATAGAAGTGGAACATGCTGAAATTTGTTGGGAACAATGAGAAGCATCTAAAGGTTTTTTTTATTCATTAAATGGACATAGACTTCAAAAGACAAGGCCATCATTTCTTAGTACATCCTTAATAGACCATTTCAGAGCACAATTAAGCATGAACCAAATCACTCTGATGAGGAAGCAAATTACTGCAGATGCTCGAATCTGTACTAAAAAACAACAATGTTGGAGATCACAGCAGGTCAGACAGCGTCCATGGATAGACAGCAAGCTAAAGTTTCAGGTCTAGATGATTCAGAGCTGAAGTGAAGTGTGGAGGGGACAGCATTTATGCTAGGGGGGGGGGGGGGGGGGGGGCGTAGTATGGGAATAGTGGGTACAGGGTGCTGGTGGAGAAAAGATGTTGATTGCTCAGATTAAGTAATTGGAATGTGAGAATGGCAGAACAATGGTGTGTCTCCTGCCAGACTTGAAAGGATAGACAATCTCACTGGAATGGGGGATGACGGGAGGAGTGTTCATGATAACAGAATGTAACAAGCTAAAAGAAAGGGAAGAAATGGGAGGTTATTCACAATTTGAAGGTGTTGAACTCAATATTAAGTCCAGAAGGCTGCAAAGCATAGAAGCGAGAAGATGAGAGGTTGTTCCTCCAGTTTGCGCTGCGATTCACTGGAACACTCCAGCATGCCCAGGAAAAACAAATGGGCGCGTGAGCAGGGCACTGTGTTAAAATGCACTCAGACACAAGAAACGAAATTGAAAGTACAGATACCATTTCATACAGCATGAGAAAAAGGGTGCTGATTGTTTGGGCATCATTGGCATGGAGATACAGCAAGAACAATGAACCATCTTAATTTTCAGGCCAGGCCAGTAGATTATGACGGCTCATGGCATTGCCATGGGGATGCACTGTCTCCATGATTTTTTCTGGGAAATGGTGCAACATGTGCACAAATTTCTTTTGCTGACAGAGTCCTGAGTACTTAGCTATGCAGATTCTAGCAAATGCAAAAGCATCACACTGTACGCCCAGCTAATGATCTTAATTTGATTTCTAGTGCAATTCAAACAACAGTCTCATCCTGTATGAAATTCTCTCTTTCCTTTCCTCACCTGCCCACCATTGTTTCTTGCATCATAATTGTGATGAATGCAAGATGACAACTTCAACCTCTAATGTCTCCTTTTAGCAATATAAAAAGATTTTGACACAGGACGAGGACACAAAAGTCAGGATGGAGGTCCACAGTCAAACTCTGCTGGAGGAGTACATAGAACATAGAACAGTACAGGCCCTTCGGCCCATGATGTTGTGCCAAACTTTTACCCGAAACCTAAGGTCTATCTAACCTCCACCGCTACCTTATACTATCATCCATATGCCTATCTAATAGCCACCTAAATGCCCTTAATGAGGCCGACTCCACTAACCTCTCCAGCTTAAATAAATACAACTTACTAATTTCACTGATTACTGCTACTCAGGGCTCAGTCAAGTGCTCAATTTCACTCAGATGCTTCGAAGAACTGATCGTAGGGAATATGGCAAGGCATTTGCATCTTTCAAGGTTTGCACTTCTAACTGTTTTATTACTGTTAAAATACCAAAAGCTCCTTGAATACCCACATATATAAAAACTTAGCTGCATTGGGTGGTAGACTGTATCATCAATGCTGCTTTAATAAAAGTCTAAAACAGAACAACACTATGATATTTATAATTTAATAACACCCAACTCATCGTAAGCACAAAACCAGTCAGTCAATGAATACTTGAAGATGTAGTATTAAGTAACTGCTTAAATGTGCAGTTCTAACTTGGGCAAACTACTTACCACACTATCTGGCAACGTCTGTAGAGTTGTTGTAAGCTGATCAGCAGGTGAAAGGGTATCTGGAAGGAACATAGCCCTGGACAAAAGCAAAAGTGACGTTGGAATCTGCTGGTTCAGATGTAGCTCCAACCACTGCAAGAAAAAGACAGCAGCATCTAGTTGGAACACAGGAACATTTTAAACATAATAAACCTGTGTATTATTTAGTACATTTCTCAACTAGTTACTTGAAAGGGTCTAATATAAAAGAGTAGAAATGCAACAATTAATGCGTTGTGCGTAATTGTTTATGCCACAATTCTGAATTGTTTGACTTCAATATTTACTTACTTTCTCTTACAATAGAAGGCAATTTTTTGTGTATGCTCAAATTCATTTTTATTTACAGGAAGGCTGATAGTTTTTAAAATGGTTAGAAAACTGTGTCTGCATAATTGACACACATGAAATTTTACAACATTCTTTATGTGGGTGCCAAATTTAAAAAATGAAGATTGAGAATCAAAACATAGTAGGTTAGTGTTAAGATATTTTCAGAGCTCTTTGTCCCATTAATTTCTCAGGTGAACTTTTGAGCTACAGTTCAATTTTGAATAGGCATAGCAAGAAAGGGGCTTATCTCCTTTTAAAGATAATCTAATTTTAAAGAATTATTTCTGAGTGAATTTGCCAAACACGTGTTTGATGTTTTATCAAAACCTTTTTCTCTTAAGTTCCAGTTAGCTTTTGTTAATCCCACTCAATTTCCTTACTTCCCTTTAGCTTCTTTATTACTCTTATGATCCTCATAGCCTTCTTCAATTTTAGTAGTTGGCCTCTTCATTTATTCATAGCATCCTGGGATTATGGTAACTTCCTTCTTTATGAAAATTGTGCTGTAGATAACTGGTGCAAGTGCACGGAAGAAAAACATTCTGGACATTTGCTCAGTTACTATTGAGGATCAGTGTATAGGATTTCCATTCAGGAAAATGGAGTATAATTGAGAGGGTGAAGTCCATGATTAGAGAAATTTCACATTGCTAATTTTTGGTTACTTTTTCACAACAGTCTTGGATTACAAGTCATCACATCATTACTGTGAATTAAAAATAATAACTCGCATTTGCCTACTTGCTTAAGTTGCTCTTGTAAGCGTGCTTCAGTCACCCCTAATGCTCTCATACCCCGGGTCCGGCAAGCTGCCTGCAGCTCATTTACGTTCAGTGTAGTTACTCCTTCTGCTGCAATCAACTGTAGGCAAAAGAAATTGATATTCTCCAGTTTAAACAAACAATCCATAAACAAGCAAAATAAATCCAACTGAACAGCAACATAAAGCTAAATCAACACAAGGACAGTGAAAGGGCTCAGTGGGTAACAGGGTTAGAATAAAGTTCATCAACTTGAAACATTAACACTCACTCACTCAGCAGATGCTACCCGAGCAGCTGACCACTGCTAATATTTTGTTTTCAATCTGTTGTATTAATTTAAGATATTTACTGGAATTGATGGTACCCCAAGTAAGGAGGCTTTGGGCTTAGGAGTAGAGGAGAGATATACAGAAAGTAAATCCTCCGGTGAATGCTCAAATGTTTGAAAATATCAATTATATCTAAATTGAGAACATAGAAATAGGACTGTTCTGTTCAAATAAAATCTGGATCCTGGATTACTTGAATCCCTCAAATTTTAGGAGAAGTCCATCAAGGTGAAGCTGATGTAGAGGAGTCAATTAATAAAGTTCAGTTTTATAAATTATGGTTAATTTTGATTGATTAAATAAGTGAGGAATTAAAATGAATTCTGTTTAATGGTCACCACTGTAGGACACTTACACACCTCTTGACTCACTGGAGTGTTTGCTCTGGGGAGAGAAGCTCTCCTGCACTTAGCTTTATATCATAGAACAAGAAATTGCAGCCTTTTAGAGGCTGAATAAGCAGGCTCACATCATACTATGTCTGTTACATGCATAGTTTAGCACCCCCTACCCTGAAATAATGAGGTGTCTTAAAAATTACAGAAAAAACCACAATGAAGGTAGTCTCATGAATAATTATCATAGGGAACCAAAGAGCAAAAAATGATGCCACTTCGATGACTATTACTTCTAAAGAAACCAATCATGCACTAATAAGCCAATTAGAGTTCAGCATGTCTCTGATCACTATACTTCACGTAGCAGTAATTGAGTTAATAAGGCCTGGTTCTTCTGGTTTGTTGCACAAGGAAGAAATATTGGAGACAGAAGAACTTCAAACAGCAAAACAGAACAAGAGACCTGTGTTCAGTCAGCTAGCATCACAAGCTAGCACTCCAACGCAGCTAAGACGTGAATCACTGATTCTATAATTGTTTGGATAAAGTTAATAGTACTGTGAAACTTTTGAAATCATCCTTACTTCTGGAATGGGTCTTATTACTATCATACTAATTAAACCTCAGATTGGCTTTCTCACCTCGTCCCATAAGTGGAAGTGAACCCTGAAGTTTTACAAGGATCAGCTAAATAAATTCAAACTAACAAATCAAGTACTCACTGATCTAATGAGCTGTAGGATTGAGACAGCGTATTTTTAGAAATTAAAGTACTCAATATCAGTGGACCATCTATGGTCTGACAATTTTTTCTTCGCATTATACAAATGTTACCTGGTCATCTGCACGAATGCTGCGCAGCTTCATAATCAGTTGAAACCGTAGAAAATTATTGGTTCCTATTGACTGCAGCTCCAACAATTTACAAAGTGCTACAAGCTGAGGTCGAGTTAAGTTATCCAGAGTTAACTCATCCTCAAACAGTTTAGAAAAACGCATGATCTCCTCATTACTCGGTCGCTCTCCAGAATCTCGAACCTAAACAGAAACAAATTACCTTTTCAAACAACTTCACAATTTAAAAGCTAATTATAAATCTGATCAATCTTCCAAAGAAGCATTGTCATTGACAGCAAACAAGGAAGTTTGAAGGAATTAATCCTTTTTGAGAAAAGGGATCTTGACAACCTACGTCAGATTAGTTGACAGCAACTTCCCGATTTCCATATTTACATGTGCACTTGAAGAGAAAAGAAGTTGCTAAAAAAAAAAGTGGAATAATGACAAGTGCTGACTATTACACCATCTTGATCAGCACAAAATCTAGGCTGATCTCCCCATGATGTGCATTTACAGCGATGATGCTGTACATTTCCAGCATTTGGAAATATTTCTCATCTTCAACACCTGCATTTTCTCTAAGATAATGTCATAGGGCGGCATACCTTACATGCGGCTTTGACAGTTTCAGCAAGTTTCCTTTCACAGGTGCTCAAACTTCTGTTCTAATTAACACAATGGGAGCTCTCTGATGGCTTTGATAAATTCACTTCATGCTGCAGTACCAAAGTATCTCTAAATGTCCTTAAGTGCTTGCTTGGCTCATTTTAGAGGACAGTTAAGAGTCAGCCATATTCTTATGGGTCTGGGAGTTACATGTAGACCAGACCAGGTAAGGATGACAGGTTTCCTTCCCTAGAAGACATGAGTGAAACGGTTGCCATTCGGATAACTTTCTTTTAAAACTCATTCTTTAGTGTATTCAAATTTCACCACCTGCCATGTTGGGGTTCGTACCCACATTGCCAGAGCACTGGCCTGGGGTTCTGGATGACAAGTCCAGAGACATTACCATGTGAAGAAGGTATTTTTGGCACCTTTAGGCAGGTAATCCAGAATTTTGACTCACAAATGTTGAAGGAATAGCAATATCATTTTACGTGAGGTTGCTGGGCACCTTGGAATGGAGCTTGGGTAGCTAATATTCTCAAGAACCTGCTGTCTTGGTTTTTCCAGACTGTAAAAGATCACAGATTTCACAAGCGCTGTTGAAGGGACCTTGTAAAGTTTCTGAAAAAATGCACTGCAGATGACAATGTTCAAGTCAGATGTCTACAGCATTAAAAAGGCCCTCTGGCACATTAGGCCATGCGCCAGTCAAAGACAACGAACTAACTATTTTAATTCCACATTCCATCACCTGGCCCAGATTCTTGCATGCCTAGTGCACATCTAAATACTACTTAAATGTTATTAGGATTTCTGCCTCTACAACCCTTGCATGCAGTAAGTTCACCCTCTAGATAGAAAAAAAATTTCAATTCCCTCTAAACCTCCTGTCTTTAACTTAAACCTATGCTCCAGTCATTGACCCTCCAAAGGGAAACATTCCTTCCTGTCTATGTCCCTCAATTTTATACATCTTAGTCTTATCCTCTGCTCCAAGGAAAATCAACCGCAGTCTATCCAATCCAATTAAAACTCTCTAGCCCAGGTAACATGCAGGTAAATCTCCTCTGCAACATCTTCAATTGCATCACACTGGTGATGTACTCCATCATATTCCTGACTTGTGTCTTTGAGAAGGCAACGAAAGCCAGCCCCTCACCTGCTTCAGTACCTGGTGTTGTAAAAGATACTAAACACTGTACTATCTGCTGCCAACATTTCCATTTCCGATCTTAGGTTGGAAAGAAGCACCTGAAGATGGTTGGGTCCAGGGCACTGCCAAGAGGCAAACTTGTAGCAATGTTAGGGGCTGAGTTGATAGTCTAAGAGGGCAATCTTTCTTTGCATTACAGAGGATCCCAGCTAATGGACAGCATCCATCTACTCAACACCCTACTGCTGAATCAATTCCCACATGTCAATTTTATTAGGGCTTCTTCATGCCACTGTCAAATGCGACCTTTATGCGGTCAACTTCATCTCACCAAATTCACCTCTTTTGTCCACACTTAGGCCAAGGCTGGAATGAGATCTGGAGCTGAGTGGTCATGGTGAAAGCAAATTGAGCAATGGCGGACAAGATATTGGAGAGTAAGTACCAATCGATAGCGCTGTCTGTATGCCTTCCATCACTTAGTAGGTGATTGACTAATAGGGTAGTGTTTCAGCAGATTGGGTTTGTTCTACATATTGTGACAGAAGATTTATATAATATTCCAATTCATGAGGCTGATACCAGTGTTAATGGCTCTTGTGGTGCAGTTGTAGTGCCCTCTCAGAGCCAGTTCAAGTCCTGTTCCAAAAGGTTTGTAATAACATTCCTTAACAGTTGTTGAAAAATATCCAGAAGCCAGTGAAGTAGCTTGTTTCATGGTGTGGTTATAGTTCAGGAAAATAAGTCTTCAGCATTATAGCCAAGATGCTTTTCATCCAATTATTTTTGTTGTAACCTGCACATGCAGGTGCTTCTTGATACAAAAGGAACAAATAAAATTGGCTGAACACTGACTTTTGAGATGGTCAGTATTTTCGATGATGACGGATCATCCACTTGCCACATGCAGTTGAAAACAGGTGCAAATACCTCAGCCTTGTTTGTTACATGCGATGCCAGAAGGCTCGAGGCACAATGGTAGCATCTCTACCTCTGGACTAGGAGACCTGAGACAAGTCCCATCTGTTTCAGATATCAAAATTTCCAGACTGGTTGATTAGTAAACATCTGCATACTAGGGTCCACCAGAATTTTGGATGAGAGTATTCATAAGGCTTTTTATCAGTTACTTATTTAATTGCCCACCATTATTCTCAACACAACCCAAATCATTAGATTAACCACAATGGTAGAGTAAGAGATGCAACGGGCCTTGAGGCAGCCAGATTCAAGTCCTGCCTCAGAATTTGATGGCTACGAAAGGTGCGGGGTAACACAACTGAACAGATCGATTACTTAGTTGTAAACCCTTCTGATATGCCTATGACAGGCAATAAGAGCAAAAAGTTTCTGTATGATCAGAACCACGTGGTAGTTGGAGCACCACAGCCTCCCCGCATTTAAAGATTCCACTATGCATTCTTGGCATGAGCAAGCACCATCCTTGTGTCAAGGGATTACTACACATATCGGGCCACATGGGCACAAATTGTTTGGAGTACATGTCTGCTGCTTCAGCATGAATTATAACCAGTTGGGTGATGCGCAAAAGCATTGCGATATTACCACTTTCAACAAGTAATGCGTGCTGCTTCAACTTTATGCCAGAAATTACAGGTAAAAACAAGCTGCTTGTAAGAGGAAGTTAAGTGTCACAGATGAGGAATAATTAAATTTGTTTCAATCTACTTGGATGAACTTGATTTCCCTCCAAACAGGTGCTTCCACAGTTTAAAAATAATCAAATGTGAATCCACCAAAGCAGAAAATATTAGTCATTGTATTTCTCCCAACTGTCTCACTCCTGCAGCCAGTGAATAAGGCAGGGATATAACTCCAAGGACATCAACAGCCCTCAATTACCATTCTCCAGAGCAAGTATGAGCAACAAAAGCACCAAGTTATCAGATACTGTCCTATAGATGCAAATACACATTTGTACTTTCTGATAACAATTAGTGGATACTAAATCAAAAGGATTAGCACTAATTCAAAGTGATTGAGATCAATCACAGTCTGCTGTCTCAGAACTAAAGCACATGTTTAAGAGAAGTAAAAGAGACAAAGTCAATACTAAAAATAAAAGTTAGACAACTGTCATTTTCACTTGTGCATTTAATATTGGCAACAATCCAAATGTGCAGCTCAAGTCTAAATATTACCTTCTGAAAGAATGTAGAAAAGTCTTTTGTGACATCACCCTTAGCTGCTTTATTTCTTAGGGCAATCTCTTCAATTGTATCTTGAAGAAATTTTGCCATTTCAAGTTTCACTCTCAGCTCCTTTTTCAACCTTTCTTCCTAAAGAAAATGAATATCCTTTAGCTTTCAAGCACATTAGATGCGTCAAAAAAATACATTTTCAGTATTCATATCCAACACAATTTTATAGGTTGCTTGACAGGTTTCAACAATTAATTTTTCTACTCAAGTTCAAGTCAGCCTGTTTTGTTGGCTTTTGCCTCTTAACCCATGTACCGGTGATAAAATGTAGCCCCAAATATTACTACAACTTATACCCCATAATGGAGGAAAATAGTTGATATAGGGATGGCAGCAGAAAATAGTGAATATTTATAAATCCAACATATTAGTCAAAACTAGGAACTTACAGATAGTTCAGTGACTTTGTTCACAGAACAGATGAGCTCCACAGAGCTTAAAAAGATTGAATATTCAATCTAAACTGAACAAACTTGACTAACTTGTCAGCTTGGTAAAAAGTTGAAACTTGAGGTGAATCAGAGCAGGGAGGAGAACAAAAGGATAGCTAGATTTGCTGTTCTCGATTACTAAGTAACCTAGATAGAAAAAATGAGGATTAGCTATCACAGCCCAGTGATCAAGTATTAGGCCATTAACTTGTCAGTCTAGGCTCACATATGATTAGCATTTAGGAAAGGAGAAATTATAAAAAAAAACTTTACAACTTCAAGGAAGAAATCATCAATGTTTTGATTATTAGAGGGTAATGTTTTCTTTAAAACAATGTATCAAGTTGCATTTAAAGTCAAATTTTGGTTTGTAAACATGTTCCATTTTGATTCCTGTTATTCTATATACAAGTGCTTTATTAATTGTCTTTTAAAAAAATTAGAGTAAAAGTCCAGCAGTTTCTGCATTTGGTGCACATACTAAACTTGATGAATTGAAACAAATTGAATATGCCTGAAGGCTTATTTTCAAACCTTAATTTGTAGCTACAATGGCACAAAAAGAGTAGAATTTAGACAAATCTGAATCCAGATGACACCTGCCTTAAATTTTGAGAAACACATTAAACTACAAATCAATATACTTGCAGAATTTTCAGACAAAAGTGCTAGAGGTTCTTAACAATTGGGATTAAACCAAACATAGTCCAACTTGAGCAGTTAACAACAAAAAATTTGACAAGTGTTGCTTGAACATTAAAATACACTACAACCTCCCCAGGGACAAAATCTGTAGTTTGGATAGACCAGTATGGAAGCATTTTAAGTACACCCATTATATTAGAGAACTTTGAGAGCAGAAACAAATATTTAGTAGATAAATGAATGATTTCTTTAATGTGTTTTAATAATGTTTTCGGCTTCATGCAAAGATTTATATCCATGTTTTGTTCTGGTTCACATACTGGTTATTAGACATTCTAATGATATATCATTAATCCAGAAGTATCCAAAATCTGAAAGTGACTTCAGTCCCGGGCATTCCAGACTGGAGATATTACACTGCATGCTAAAACAGTGCTAATACATACTCACCTTCTTTGACTTGGTCTCAAAGGTTGAGGGAAGCATGTTAGGGAAAAGTTTAAGAACAACAGGAAGAAGAAACTCCATGAATGGAACAATGATGAAAACTAGGAAGGGCACCAGGCGAAAGAGGTCAGCACATGTCCTCAGAAACTGTTAGGAGATTAAAAAAAATTAAAATTCAAAAGCATTTCCTTCAATTTGACTTAACAATTTTTGACAATTAACAACAGTGATAAGCAGATTTGGTTGATTAAAATTTGAACTGGTGGACTGTATCAGGACGAAGAGGACATGACAGTGTAAAGTTACTGGACAAGTAATTCAGAAGTATCCAACAATATAACATGAACCAATGCTTGTAGCAGGAAAACACAAGCGACACAGCCCATTAGGTCAACGCCAGTTCTTTGTTCTAGTTATTTAAACCAACCCCACTCCCTTGACCTTTCATTGGCACTTGAAAATTCTCTCCAAGAAATTGTTCAATTCATTTCCAAAAGATAATACTATGTCTTTCCCCACCAAGAGAAAGGTAGGCCATTCAGTCCATCAAGTCTTCCCTGCCATTTAGGAGATCAGGACCGATCTGATAATCTTCAATCCCACTTGCCTGTCTTTTCCCCCATAATCAAGATTCTCTTACTATTGAAAATCTGCCTGTCTCATCCTTGAATATACTTAATGGCCCAGCTTTAACAGCTGTCTGTGATAAACAATTCCAGAGATTCACTACTCTCGGAACAAAATTCTTCTCAATCTGCAACACCTTACACTGAGATTACACCCTCTGGATCTAGACACTCTCAAGGGGAAACAACCTCTCTCCCAAGTCTTTAATACGTACAGTAAATTAATGTGACCTCACCACTGAACTATTTTGCTGATGGTCATCAAATTCCACCATCTACTGTGGCAGGATTCAAGCCCAGGTTTCCAGAACATTACCTGGCTCTCCAAATTAGCAGTCCAGCAATAGTCCTACTAGCATTGGTTGTTCAAGTTTTTCACCACCATTCACTACTGTATCTGGCAGAAGTGCAAAACTTAGATCTCATCCATTGTTTGTTGGCTTGCTTTGCCCTATCACTGTGTTTCCATGGTTTGGTATACATGGAATAAAATGAAGCATGACATGGGGCCATCATAGCTCACTACAAAGACACCTCATTTTCAAGTGTACCTGGTGCTGCTCCTAGGATGGCTTCTTGCACTCTTCACTGAGGCAGGGTTGGTCCCTGGTTTAGAAAAGCATAACACTGCAACTTCAGATATATGCTGATTATAATTTCCCAAAATTCACTAGATTGAGGAACAGACCTGGCAGATTGTAATTAGCAAATGTGACACAAGAAAGGAGGGAGTGTGAAAAGAGGAAACTACAGCACAATAGCCTAATATCTGCAGTCAGGTTTGCGTTGGAATGAATTGCAAGGATGACTTAATCTACTTAGGAAATCACTGCTTCTGCAAATGTTTCATCCAAAAATCTAAAGACTTGCTCTCGAGTAAAAACATTAAAATCACACTTCCCTATGTACAGGCAAGTTACTCAGAACATTCTAGATAGTTTTTAATCCATTCTTTCAAAATAAAATGCTGAGCCTAAGATAATAAAAACAAAGGATGTTCTGACTAGAATATCACTTTTTAACAAGACCTTCTGGTAAGCAGTGACGCAACACATTAGCTTTCATCATTGTTCTCTTCCTCATCAGCAACTCTCATTACACTCGAACAGGCCCGCAGCAAAACAACTGGTCATACACAAACTCATGGCACAGAATATGCTGGAGTTAGAGAGAATTTTGTTTTGTTCATTAACCTAAGCACAGAAATTACAATATAAATTACTGAATTACCAGATGGTGGATTGCACAAACCAGACTACGACTACAATGTGCTTACAAGAAACGACATGATAATTTATATTGATACTTTTGTGGGATCCACAACAAGATTACTCAAGCAATCAACGATAAATGATTATGATTTTGGCTTCATAAGTTGGTCAGAAATGTTAAAGCTTCACTGTGGAGCTCATGGCTACCGTTTCACTTCGATATTACTGCCGTTAATGCTCAAAATACAATCTTGCACAACAAGTAGCAACTTCAAAATAAATTTTCCAGTTTCACAAGGTAATAGAAATGTAGTTTTTTTTTTATAAGTCCATCCCACGCAACTACGTGACAATGGGACATTGCATTCTACGGCCATTTCCAAAGATACCCACCGAAGCAAATATCAACAACACCTGGAGGACCATCTGAAAGACGTTCAGTCTACCCACAAGTTGCTTATCTTCCAAAGTAAGAAATTATCCTCAATTGAGTGTCACAGACTAAAGTTCGCTACACGCTGAGGCAAGGACGAAAGCTTGTGGCAGTCACTGCAGAAATGCCAAAGGGAAAATTTGCTACCATAACTCTTGTATACCTAGAGACTAGAAACTGTACAATCCTTTGGGCTACATGCGTTCCATGGAATGTGTCTTCTAATTATTGAAAATATATTGAAGCATCTCAGAGTGCAATGTTGTGCTTTGGGAAAAATGTGACATCTATTGCACTGGAATTTTCACTGCTTGGGAAGTCCAGGAACAGGCAAACATGAATTCCACTTCAAGGTTGTGGCTGTGGCAAAGGCAAAGAGTTTTACATGCAAAGGGTGTTTGATGTTTTGAACTGACTTCCACAAACATGCTTAAATCAATTGCTATTGCAAACCAGATGGAGATACATAATTTCGCCAAATATAAATACATCCAAGGATGTAGGACAATGGTAAAAAAGAGATTTGGATTACAGATCAGTAGCTATCTCAATGTTAGAATACATTTGACAGGCGAAATTGCGCTTTCCTGTTCTTTGGTTATGAAGTTGTGGTAATTGTTAAATTTATTTTTCCTGGGATGGGGAGGGTACCACTGGAAATGTCTACATATTTACTAGTCACTAACTGCCCTCAAGTAGGTGGTGGTGAACAGCCTTCTTGAACTAGTCCATCTGGTGGAGGCAGACCTCCAAGGCTTTAACAATATTTTGATTTTACAACAGCAAAGGAATGCCAATACTCACCATAATTCCAAGTCAAGACAGTGGGAGGGGCTAGGAGGAGAACTTGCGTGTGGTGATGTTTAATTGCAGCTGCTGCCTTTGTCCTTCTAAGTGGTAGATATTGTGAGTTTGCAAGGAACTGAAGGATTCTTGGTGAGCTACAGCACACTTCTAACACACTGCTGCCACTGTGTGTTGGTGGTGGACGGAATGAATGTTTAGCTTAATGGCATCCATTAAGCATACTGCTATGTTTTGATGGTTTGGATGGAGCAGCACTCATCTACGCCACAAGTACGCCATCGTGCTTACATATGCCATGCAGATGGTGAACAAGGATTCTCTCAGAAGCCCTGTGTCTGTGCAGGTTTCCTCCGGGTGCTCCGGTTTCCTCCCACTGTCCAAAGATGTGCGGGTTAGGTGGATTGTCCATGCTAAATTACCCCGTAGTGTTCAGGGATGTATAGGTTAAATAGATTAGCCATGGGTTACAGCGATAGGTTGGGTGGGGTGAGTTTGGGTGGGATACTCTGTGGAGTGTCAGTACGGACCTGTTGGGCTGAATGGCCTGTTTCCACACTGTAGGGATTCTATGATTCTATTTTGGCCCCTCACAAATGTGTATGTATCAATCATGTCCTCCCTCAGTCTTCTCTACTCCAAAGAAAACAACCCCAGTCTGTCCAATCTCCCTTCATAACAAACTTTCCAGCCCAGGCAACATTCTGGTAAATTTCCTCTGCACCCTCTTCAGTGCAATAACATCTCTCCTATCATGTGGATTCCAGAAATGCACACAATATTGCTGTGGCCTAATCAACATTTTACACAGCTCCAGCATAACCTCCCTGCTCAACCTCTAAGCTGTTTGATCTAATCTGAATAGAATACTATTTTGCACAGTAGTAGTAACACATGATTGATGGCATGGTCACTGTGAAGACAGGATTGTGCAACAATCTTTCCTACTTACTCAACTTAATACTTACTTTCCTACTTTGCTCAGTGAGGTCCCGTTTGAGTTCAACCATGACCACTCCGCTCCTGACATCATTAGGGCCTTGGTTATAACATGGACACAAATGCTGAATTTCAGACGACTATGAACCATAGTCTATTGTGAGAAAAATCCATCAGGGAAGGAGATTTGCCATCCTCAACTGGTCTGGCCTCTATGTGACTGTAGACCCACAGTAATGTGATTGACTCTTAACAGCCCTCTGAAATGGCCTAGCAAGCCACTCAGTTCAAGGGATGCTAGGGATGGGCAATAAATGCTGGTCAACCAGTGATGCCTATGCATGAGTGAATAAAAAATATTTCCCTTTGTCAAATACCAGGTGGTTCATCCAATTTTGCTCCTTTTTGATATTTCTGTAATAGTGTGGGACAACTGAATGAATTGCTAGACTATTTCTGAGGGCACCTGAAAGGCAACCACATTATTACAAGTATGGAGAGAAATGTAGGCCAGCCAGGACAACAAATTTCCTTCCCAAAAAGGATATTAGTGGTTTTTACAACAATGTTAGTTTCATGGCTTCATTTTTGAGAATGGCATTTAATTTAAAATGGAATTTAAATTCTACCAATTGCTGTACTGGAATTCAAATCACTGTGTCTAGTAAATTTGCCTTTAAATTCCTTGTCCAATGATAAGGCAATTGCATTCAACTTGGATTCTGGCATTAATCAAGAGAAGATAAGCATCAAGAGCAAGGTCATATTGGTTCACAGATACCAGAAAGCATGGCAATCAAATGCCTCTCAAGAAAACCAGTCATGGCTACCACTCTTGCAAGCCCTTTGACCTCCAACCAAGTTGCAGCTTCCTTCTTCCTACACCTTTTTCTTTCTGTGTGTCATGGAATGTGGGGAGTGCTGCCCAAGCCAGCATTCACTTCCCTTCCTCAAATGCCACAGAGAAGGTGGTGGCAAGCTGCATTCTTGAACAAATGAAGTCCTTGGGACATGGGGGCACTGAAAGTGTTGTTGTGAATGGAGCTCTAGGATCTCGTCCCAGCAAGTGTAGGAACAGCAATATAGTTTCAAGTCACAACAGTATGAGACTTGAAAACATATCTGCATGTGGTGGTGTTCCCATATGTCTGCTATCTTTATTCTTCTCTGTGGTAGTGGCTATGTTCCAGGAGCCTTGGTAACTGCATTGCACCTTGCAAATGGTACATACTACTGCCACTGTGTCAATGGTGAAGGTGCAAACATTGAAGATTGTTGACAGGATGCCAGTCAACAGGTTGCTTTGTCCTGGATGGTGTCGAGTTCAAAATGTTGATGAAGCTGTTTTCACCTAGGCAACTGGTGAGTCTGCCATCACACGCCTGACTCATGACTTGCTGGACTGGGGAATCGGGAGGTGGGCTACTTGCTGCAGAATTCTTAACCTCTGAGCTGAACTTATAGCCACATTTAGATGGCTGGTCCAGTTTAGCTTCTGCCATTGATAAGACTATGTTGATATGGGATATTCAATTATGATAACGTCATTGAATGTTAAGGGCAACGGTTAGATCCTTACACCCTTTTGCAAGTACCCTTAGGTCTTTCAAAAGGAAATGGAGAATATACTTGAAAGTTTTGCAAGGCTTTATAATAATGATGTTTTAACCTAAGCAACACTCAGAACAAAATCTAAACTATTTAGATAAATACTTACAAGGAATAGATTTTGAGCAGAGTCCGAAAACAGCATGGAGTACAAGTAATTGGACAGCTCTTCCGATAGTTGGCACAAATGTGGTCAGCCAATGACTTCCCTCTGTGCTGCATACTTCCCTGGTCATGATCATGGCCATGCCCAGCAACAGAAGTGTACTGGTACTCATGCCTGTACTGTAATCAGCATCACGTTAAAACTGATCATTCTGACAGGGAGTGACTAAGAACACATGCTCAAAGTCCTTAATAACAAAAATCCTTGTGAAGAGGTTGAGCAAGGGAGAAAAGGGAACAGAGAGGAAGGAAGTAGAAAGGGAGTAGAAAGGGAGAGATATAAAGACCGCCATGATGAATGCCTCACTCTGATAAATGTTATCATTCTGGTAAGCTACCCTGTTGTTTGCAAGTCTGCTCAACTAAGGATCGAACTGTCTCAGAATACACCTGAAATCGAGGAAAAAATATCAGCACGTCAACGGCCCAGGCAAATGCTGAACAGCATCAGACTGGAGATCAGACCAACATAGCAACGTCACTGTATTCGAGACCCTAGGAAGATGTTTTAAAAGGAACCAAATTCTAAAACTTGCAGTGACAATAGATAGGGGAGGCCATTTTCTTTCTTTCGTTTTTCATGGGATGTGGGCTTCAGTGATAAGACCAGCATTTGTTGTCCACCACCAATGGTCTTTCAATTAATTGTCTTGACAGGCTATTGCAGTTAAGCATGGCATATTTTCTTCTTTTAAAAAAGGTCATGAGTAGGCCAGTTGGGTTTTTATGAAAATAGATGATTGCTGCATGGTCACCATTAGTACAACTAGTTTCTTTTTTCTTTCAAAACATACATTCTAGACTTGCTAATTATATTTGAATCTCACCAGCTGTAATTGTGGGATTTAAACTCCTGGCCTCGGAATTTCCCAAATTCACATGCAGCATTTCACATAATCACATTGTGGGGGCTGATATTGCCTCACAACAATACAGTGAGTTTTCACTCAAAAAGGAATTAGTAAAATAAAACTCTTTTGTAGATTTGAAAAAGGGAGGGGAATTTACAGCAAATTACATTTGAGAAAGAGATGGGTGGCAGAGGCAGAACTCAGAGTATGCATTCAGCAGTTTTTCCTCTCTCCTATCTATGAAGGATAATTAGTCAGTGCCATGATCATCTTCATTTGGAATGAACAAGACTTAAGTTTCTGATAAAAGCTGAAAAGTCTGCTAACCCTCAGAATTCAATTTAGAAAGTTAGCTGAAAATTGTGCACAACTTACCTGTCTATGCTCTCTCCTTGAGAGAGTATATCCATTCAGGATCCGCCAAAGCATTCTGCCTGCTATCTTTGTGTCAATCCACAACAATCTGAAGCCATGATAATAGTGTTTTACTTCATCTACAATCTTCTGACCCAGGGACTTGCGGACTTCAGGTTCTATAGGACTATAGACAGGACCACCTTCTTCCAGTCGCTTATTCTTATCCTTTAAAGACTTGAGAGATTTTTCTACCTTGGAATCATCATATAGGTGACATGTAGAATGCCACCATCTTACTGTAACGCAATGGGTTCCAATAAAACTCATCTCGGTAGAAGTGCATGGCAGAGGAGCACCCACCACCCTACAGTACACACGTTTTGGCCCTTTTGTCCAACTATAATAACGATCTCTTAAGTGCAAAGGATTGTTGATTGTAGACACTGTGCTGCAATTTCTCAAACAAACATTTCTGAAAAAACAGATCAAAAATAAGAATTATTTCAAACAAGTTAAATTTAGGAAACATAGCAAATCAGATAATTTGCTGCATAAAACCGCTTCCATTCTTGTGGATAAATCCTGATTTGCAGTCTAGCAAAAGTAATAGAGTCTAAAACAGCTATAACAAATTACTGGAAAAGCTCAGCAGGTCTGGCAGCATCTGTGGAGACAAATCTGAGTTAATGTTTCAGGTTGAGTGACCCTTCATCAGAACAGCTATACGTAGATTGGCATCAAGGTGGAATACATTTTATTCTGGACTTACATAAGGTTAAATGTTAGAACTACATAATGCAGCCTGCTCAACACTGAAATAAGTAACTTGACAGTTTCCTCTGCAAATCACTCAATGAAGACAAATAGTATCACAAAAACTTGGTAGGTTGGATAGAACTCGAGCACAAGAAAGCAAGGTCATGGAGAAATACGTCTGTGCTCTTTATAGAAATGGATGATGATTCTTACATTAATTTGTGTCAGTCTTCAAAATTGACAGGGAGGAGAATAGAAGACATTACAACTACCTAATCATGAACTGGAACTTGCTGAAGTTAACGTCAAAGAGAAAATAGTGCTGGAAAGAAAAGGGAGTAAAGATGGCAAAGCCGCACAAAACAGGCAGGTCATTATGGATGCAAAGAAACCAAGATAACAGACTATTAGTCTGCTTTCTGTTGTGTAGATGTTATTGGAATCAAAGAAGAGCAAAGAGGTAAACCCCTGGTAATCTGAGCTGTATACAAAGAAAGAACATGGATTTGTGAAGAGCAGATCATGTCTAAAACACAGAAGTGAACTTTTTGAGGAAGTAACTCGTGTAGTTAACAAAAGAATGATTATCCACAAACTTAAATAAAATTCTAGAAGCTATCTAATAAGCTTCTAAAGAAGCAGCTGTTAGTTATATTTCAGCTCTATTACATGAAATCTAAACTATCAACTTGGCTAGGTAGTTGTAGATAATCTTAGTTTTGAAGTGTCTGGTGAAGCCCCACAAAATTAGTCTATTCAACCATTCACTTGATTGATAAGTGCCTTGGAAAGCGTAACACAAAGCCATTAGTCCAAGATCGCCAATAGCAAATATTAAAAGGCATTGTCAATTTTATAGATGAAATTAAGTAATCGTCCCATCTATCAATGGTGTTTTGTAATCTAAACTTGCAGGAATTCATTCATCTTAAACCAAATGTAGCCAAATCAAAGTATTGTTGTTTCTGGAAACAAGGTAGTGGTTTCCAATGCAAAAATGGCTGTGGTGATTCATTTGCACACACACAGGTGCACCTCTAAAGTCAGACCAGAATATTAAATTTTAAATGAGTTTCTAAGTCCAATAACTCAATCTGTAAATGTCTACGGTAGTATAACAAGAAAAACATGAAATAGGTTAGCGAAGAAGGGAAGGGGAACAAGAAAAGTTGTGTCACATATATGCAAAGCTCATAGTTAGCCCAAATCTAGAATACTATAGGTCTGAAGAACAAAATTCTGAAGAGGGATTATCATCCTGTAATGAATCAGACACAGGTTAACCAGAGTGTTACCAAGGGTCCAAGGGTGAGACTGTGAGAAGAGATTACATAAAGTCAGCTGTTATTTCCTGGAATATTAAGGCTTGGGCAATATGATTAAATATTTTATGATTTTGAAGGTATTTGATAGGGTGCAAAGAAGCATTTTCTACTTGTAAGGGAAGAAATCTAGGTTGGGAGACATGATGTTAAAGTTGGAAATCAAAACCATTCAGAAATCAAGTTCTTTAAATAAGTCTTCATAATAAAGGAACAAAAACAAAGTTGCTGGAAAAGCTCAGCAGGTCTGGCAGCATCTGTGAAGGAGAAAACGGAGTTAACGTTTCGGGTCCAAAACTCTCTTCTGAGGAAGGGTCACTCGACCTGAAATGTTAACTGTTTTCTCCTTCACAGATGCTGCCAGACCTGCTGAGCTTTTCCAG